AACAAAAAAAAAAAAACCCCCAAAACTTGTATCTTTATCTGAGAGCTAGATAATAACTATTATTTCACTTTATAAACAACAAAAACATCATTTGGTCAGAGTCCAGACAACCTCCTTGGCTCCTGGACACAGGAACAAAGAATGACAAGTGGCATTGTTTCCTCCTTTTCCCAGCCTTCCCCTACATCACTTCTCATATCTTGGGGAAAGGATCAATGCCTTAGTCCTACAGGAGAAAAGAACATTGAAAGAATAACTAGTTTGTTAAGGCTGAGACAGGTTCCCAAATTCCTTCCCAATTTTTACAGCTTTTTGTGCAGGTAATTGGGGATGAGAGGAGTTAAGAGGTATAAAACTGGTGTTTCCCCCATTTTTTTTTATTGTGGTAAATAATAAATTCAGTGTGGGATAGTCATGTATTTTAAATAGTGCTTTTATCTGTGAAAAACTACACATATGGGAAGTCAGGGATATAGTTCAATAATAGAGTGTTTGTGTAGCATGCACAAAGTCCTGAGTTTGACCCCCAGTCACACACACACACACAAAAAAAAAAAAGACAAAAAGAAACCCTGGGGGGCCGGGGAGATGGCTCAGTGGAATAAGCACTTGCCTGGCAAGTGCAGGGGCCTGAGTTCAATCCCCAGTTCTGCCAAAAAAAGAAAGAAACCCTGCATAGATGTCTGTAGTTGCTTTATTCATAACTGTTAAGCTGACAAGCAATTAAGATATCCTTCAGTGGGTAAAAGGATAAGCTGTTCCAGACAAGAAACATCCTGCACTAAAAAGGAATAAGCTATGAAACCATGAAAGATATATGGGAACTTTAAATCCATACTGTATAAAAGAAGGCCATCTGAAGGGCTATATATAATGTGTGATTTCAACTATTTTCAAACATTATGGATAAAACAAATTCAGGAGACAGTTAAATAGAGTGTGAGGGGTTAGAGAAACTCTAGGGGTAAGTAAAGCAGAGGATGTTTAGGGCAGTGTAAATACTCTTTTAAGACTACAATGAGAGAGATAGTTCAGTGGTCTAAGCACCTGCCTGGCAAGCACAAGGACCTGTGTTCATCTCTGGTTCTGCATGCCGTGCTGGCCCAAAACCGGGCATGGCAGAGCATGCCTGTAATCTCAGAGCTGGGGAGACTGAGACAGGAGGATCACTATGAGTCTGACCTGCCTGGCGAGACCTTGTTTTAAATAAATAAAGATTTTTTAAAAATTAAATATAAAAAAAGACTACAATGGTGGGCTGGACATTGTAGCACATAACTATAATCCCAGCACTTCCAGCTGAGGCAGGATTGCTGTAATTTTTTTTAATATTTGGTACAGTATCTCACTACACAGCTCCGACTCACAGTAATCCTCCTGTCTCAGCCTTCCCAGCCCTGGGATCACAGGTGTGTGCCACCATGCCCAGTTTCAGTAGCCAGAGCAGTGTGAGGAGGCATGGCAAGCAGTACAGGGGATTGAACTCAGGTCCTTGCACTTGCCAGGCAGGTGCTTAGACTACTGACCTATCTCTTCAGCCCAGATTGCTGTAAATTTGAGGTTAACCTGAGCTACACAGTATGTTCCAGACCTGCCTGGATGACATAGTGAGACTAAAAAAAAACAAAAAACAAAAAAAAACAAACAGGACTACAATGGTGGATACATGTCATTATCCATCTGTCTAAATCCACATAATGTATAATACCAAAAGGGAACCTTAATGTAAACAATGAATTTTGGGTGATAATGATGTACATGTCAGTTAAGGCTCATCAATGTTACAGATGCACCATAATGATTGGTAAGGCCATGTGTATGTAAGCAGGGAGTTTTTGGAAAACCTCTGCTGTTGCATTTTGTGTTGCAGTGCTTGAGATCACACGCAGAGTCTTGTACATGCAAGGCAAGAGCTCTACCAGTGAGCCACTTTCCCAGCTCTCCACTTCAAATTTTGTAGTGAACCTAAAATTGCTCTAAAAAATTAAACCTTTTTTTTTTTTTTTTTACATATAGAAAAACTGATGATAAAAACATATAAAGATCCATTGTCTGGTCTTACTAAAGCTAAAAAATAAGTATTTTAATGCTTAGTTACTATTTATTATTCATTTTATTCCAAAGCTAACAAATACTAGTCAAAGAAGTTCAGGGGCTGGCAAGACACCTCAGTGGACTAAGTGCCTGCCTGGGAAACACAGGGACCAAGATTTGATCCCCAGGACCACATGCCACGTTGGCCCTGCCCCCAAGTACCCTGAGCCAGCCACTGAGACAAGGCATGGTGGTGCATGCTTGGGAGGGTGAAAGCAGGTGGATCACTATAAATCCAAGCTGTGTAGTAAGATCCTGTACCAAATACATACATACACACATACGTATGTACATACACACATATGTACATACATATATAAAAGAGAAGTTCAAGGATCAAAATACAAAAACAAGTAACAGGGCCCGGTGATATAGCTCAGCAGCAGTAAGTGCCTACCTGGCAAGTACAAAGTCTTGAGTTCAACCCTCAGTACCACAAAAAAGAAAAAAGAAAAAGTAATAAGGTTTGTGGAATTGTAATTCATTGAAAGAAACACGAGGGAGGGAGGGAGAAAGGGAGAGAAAGAAAGAGAAGAGAGAGGGGAGGGGAGGGAAGAGGAGAGGACGAATGAGTGCA